ACCACCACTACTACTACCACTACCCACGCATGAGACTGTCTAGCTCGCATGCCCCTTACCTCCCATCCCATGAGCTTGAAAGCACCAACCCAAGGTATGCCGCCTATCCCCAGACCGGTTATGGCATGCCTGCGCCGATGCCGGCTCCGATGCCAGCGCCGATGCCAGAGCACCTCATTTCGCCGTTGCAGGGTTTCAGGCTGTTTTGCGCGAAGCGCAGGGTGCTGTTTTGTTCGCTTATTGAGACTTGAGACACTGACATGTCGGCCATGCTTATTCCTGTGCCGCCGCCATGCTCGGATTACGCTGGTGTGTCGGCTTCCTACGCAGGGTCGTTCTCATGAAGGGCTCCCGCGACTAGTTGTCGATTGGTCCGTAGTTGTGGAGAATCAACGTCACTTTGCTTTCAAGATGGGGCTGGGCACCTAAAGCATCCTTTGCAATCCAAGTAGCGGGGAGGTCTATCACTCCACAGTTCTGAGGTATGCGGGTGGACCATCAGCACCCCAGATGTCGCCTGGCACAGCTCATTTCTGAAATCGCCCATGGACTGGTCAGCGTGGGAAAATCAATCGAGCTCTGCAGAGACGTAACGTGCCTGCTTCATGAGTTAGGGTTTAGGGTTCGGAGGCGTAAACAATTACCAACACACTCTGGGGTTCCTTATCATAGTTATTTTGTTTTTTGTACACCAAAGCCCTTTTCGAAATATTAAGGCCCCTATATTATGGTCGGCAGAGCTTTTGTGGCTTATGCCCCCATTCGAGCTGCATAGTACAGCCATATTAGTACCTGGAGCTATCCACAACCCTTCCAGCTTATGAAGCCTGTGAGGGTTTTGGGTAGCTCTCTAAAACTCGGGTCCCTTTAAGGCGTCCCTTTCCATAAGGGTGCCGTATTATTGTGGGGACCTCAAACGGGACTCTAATTTTGAGACCCTTTGGGCTCCATGCGTGAATTCGGAGGTTGTGAACGTTAAACCTCAAACCCGAAACCCTAAACCCTGCACCCTAAACCCTGAACCCTAAACCCGAAACCCTAAACCCCAAACCCGAAGGTGTTGCAGTATTGAGGCCGGCCGCCAGCCCGAAGCTGCGCATTGTCTCCCTTCTAGTTCCTGTTTTGGGTTCCTTATAGGACCAGTTTTGGGTTCCTTATAGGATCCTAACAAAATTTTTGGGGTTACCTTGTAGGATTCCAAGTCAAAAAAGCGGTAAAAAGACCAAAAGAAGGAGCTAGAACGGAGACTGTAGGTAGCTGCCAGCGGCAACATGTGGGCACAGGCTCAGGCAACTTCCGGGTTTTGGGCTTCGGGTTATAGCTACCTCCTTCGAAACCTTGCGACCTGCACACCTGTGTGTCAGATGCAGGTCGCGGAGTTCTCCAGCTCACATCTCCCCAACTTCCCAAGATGACGATTCCAGCACTCAAGGTTTACCTATGGCCTCCATTGTAGTTCCTTTTTTCGTTTTTACCCTTTTTAGCTTTAGGATCCTATATGGTAACTCCACAAAGGAACTACAATGGAGACTATAGGAAGGTTTTGAACAACTCGTGATTCCGTCAGGTGGGCATCTGCTTGGCCTTCAAGCGTTGCAGTCGAAACGTAAGTGACGGCGTCTGTTGCGGTGAGCACCTTCTTTCTGACATTTCTGACAAAAGTACTGTGAGTTCCATGCAGTCTGCGATGATTGTCCTGCTGCTGCTGCTGCTGCTGCTGCTGCTGCTGCTGGTGATGGTTCACGGTTAACACGGCGTCGTCGTGCTGCTTTCTTTGGTCGTCGCTGGTTAGAGAGGTGCGCTTCTGTCACTCAGAGTCCTTCTTGTGCTGGCTGACATTGGTTTTGGAGGAAGCTGCCGGTATATGTATATGCGCGAGCCACTCAGCAGGTCTCCCGTAGGTTTGCCACAAACCTCGTCCGTTCGCCTAGCGCCATGGGGAAAAAGATCGTAGGCTTGCAACTTGGCAAATTGGATAGAGCACACCTCTGCTCTGTCTAAGAACTGTAAGAATTACCCGGGCCTGGCCGAAGAATCCTTTGATTAGCAAGCCTCTTCGCTTCTATGCTAGTGCTACGAAGCGAGGATCCGCCCCTTCTTGCAGCTAGTCAGAAGGTCCCACAGAAGTTCCGAAGTACGCTGTCTTGGATCCGTGTGCTCGTCACTATGCGATTAGGGTTTAGGACTCATTACATTACCGACAGTGGTTGGTCATTGCCAGATATCACGATGGGTGCTGGTTGTTATTCATAATGTCAGATGTGCTACCGCAGTGCAACAATGCAGTGCTTCTTGCGACCATGTCAAGTACGATTTCTGGTGTCCTAGGCCGGGAACAGTTTTTCAATTCGAAGCGTGGATCAAAACCGCCATCAAAAGGCACAACTTCGAAAAAAACATGATTAAGCACACGAGCCCGATGGATCCTAAACCCTAACACCCTTGATGCGGCTGACCGGCTGTGACAGGCGGTCCAGCAAATTTGGGCAAGCCCTGGAATTCTGAGTGTAGCAATACGACCGAAACCAGCGTGGGACTGTTCAGGATTAGGGTTTAGGCTGCTATTCTGCGTTAAGTACAAGTGGTAGACCCCGGCCCATCTTTGAAGAAAGCTGTTCGTTCTAGCCAAGCCTCGTGCGAGGTATTGTGGGCTCTGCGTCCTGTCTTTTGCCGTGATTTCCGTCTCTTGCTTCAGCAAGTGGCTTCTTGGATTCATCTTATTCAGGAGACTGTGGCCGGAGTTTGCGAATCTAAACGAAGTGTTGGTCATGCTTGCGCAGCGAGGCCCCATCTGAGCAGAAGGGAGTAGCCGAGTAGCCCGAGATCCGCGTTTCGCCGTGCAGACCATACTACTGTAAAGCCTTGAACCCCCCTATGCCCTAAACGCTAAACCCAAGGTACCAGCAGGTTTTCAAGACCCTGGGCATCAAGACGGCGCTGAAACTCGAGGTGCGTGTTTACCAAAAACTCGAAAAAGCTGTGAAACCCAATATAGGCCTCCTTAACATTGTCTTACTACAACACACGACAAAACCACCACCCTTTTACTGTAGAGATGTGACCTTCAAAAGTGTATTTTGCGCTGTTGTTTTTAGCCGCTACCCATAGGCCCCTAAGTAGTTCCGTTTTATGGTTCATATTTAGAATCCTATAAGGTAATAATCCCAAGAACTACTAAGGAGCCTATGCCGCACCCTTCGTGAACCTTCGTGAGCCCCATAAACCCCGAACCTTAAAAGGGGGTACGGTTTAGGGTTGCGGGTTCCTGAATACTTGGAATAGGGCTTACTGTGGAGGGTATATGACCTCCCACTTTCAGTGAAAGGTTTAAACCGTGGGCCCTAAACCCTAAATTTCGCGCTGGGGGTTCTGAGCAGCTATAGGGACAATCCTAATCTTCCGGCTGAGGGTTTAGGGTGAGGGTTTCCGGAAAAGGGAGCTGACACAGAGCCTCAAGTTGTCCAGGGCGTCTACGTTTTTAGGGTGCGGGGATGTTGAGGGCCTCGGGTTGGTTCAGGGTTTTGGTGTCTACCTGGACCCCAAAAGTATGTAGAATAATAGCCTTTTTATGGGATTTGGGCCATTATTTTACCTACTTTTGGGGGTTTAGGTAGGGCTTATGCAAGATTAAGGCTTTAAGGGTTTAGGCAAAGCTTGTGGTGTAGGGCTGGCGCCCGTGAGCCAGACGTGGAGTTAGTTGCAGGTGTCTCTTCTCACTGCCCATGTGCCTGCCGAGTCGATCATGTTCTGCACCTGGCCGGAGTTAGAGGTATTCTGCAAGAGGCAGGGTTTAGGGTTTAGGGCTGCCAGAGGTATTCATAGTAGCTCATTCGCATGAGATTACGATGCAAGAAGTCTTCATACTGGCAGTAGGTTGTTCGCCGGGAGCAAAGTCCGGAACCTTCGCAATGGCTTTGGAGCGCAGTCAAACAAGCATAAACCCCTGATCAATAAACCCCTCCTCCCGCAGAAGGAATTAGAATAATGAGGATCCGCGAATCAAGGGGTTGAAGAACACGAGTTTATTAATCGGGCCTCTAAAGAACTCCCCGCCATTTGCATGGTAGGATTTGAAGGATAGTGCCAGCCTGGATCGTCCATACCCCCACCCTGCCTTGATGAAGGTATCGACTCATACGATTTTGGGTTCGGATCCTAGCAAAAGCCCAAGTTTTAAGGGACCTGCTCTCTGAAGTAACGTAGTTGGGGGGGTCCTAAGCCCTTGAGCCGTGGGATCTCAAGGCTGTGACGGGCTCGGCCTCTTGAGGGAAGAACTTAGTTCTCCAATACCCAGCCTTTAAGTTTTTTGGGTTCTTATAATTTAGTAGCAATCTGAAAGTTTAACCTTTTGCTTCCCTGGCTTATGGGGGAAGTAAGAGAAAGGCAAGAGGACCCTTCTTAGGGGCTTAGGGGCTCCCTCTCAACATTTTTAGGAAGGCCAAACCACAGCAATCAATGAGGCTCCATAAGATTCGATCTATATAATATGAGACCCTAGTAACCTTATTTCAGAGCCTTAAGGACTTGTAGAGCCCTGTAAGGACCAAGTCTTTTCGCAAACATCCAAAGTGCTTGTTTTGAATCGGGTCTCGTAATTAGGGGTTCTTGCATCAGGGATCATTTCTTCCGCTAGCTCGGCGGAAGGACTAACCATTCCAAAAGAGTCTGTAGAGATCAAGAACCCCCACTCAGATCATACGGACCCTTGGGCAGGAGCCCTAAAACGCCCTATAAACCCTAAACCCCTCAACCCTAAACCCCTAAACACCGGGCACATCCCCCTGAAACCCTGAGTAATTCGAGACAAGGAGGCCCAAGAGGTCCCAGACATTCCCCAGGCATGGCTCTTCCTAAACCTCGACGTCTGAATGACATATGAAAGGAGCCTTAATCCGGGGTAGTATTGGGGAGACTTCTTAAAGGGGAACCCTTCCGAATCCTACTCTATGGCTCTATTAAAGCGGACCTTCTTGAGAGAGTCTCTCTCCCCAAGGGTCCCCTATATAATCCTACTCCCACTTAAGGTATGCAGAAGGCAAGAGAGCAGCAACATGCTGAACCTGAACGTCATGAGATCAAGAAGGAGCCCGAAGATTAAGACATTCCCAGGCAAGACCGTCCAGAAGCCCCGAGACAGGCCCCCAAAACCCGAAATGTCCTAAACACTCCAGCCCAAAGGCCCTAAGGCCCTACACCTTCCCAGGCAAGACCATCCGGAAAATCAAGAAGAAAGTACTCAGAAGTTGCGACACCTTGAAGGATGCACAACCTCTGCAGGCCGGACCTGCATTTGAGGGTCTTGCAAGGTCGGGTTTGGTGTTTGTGTGTGTAGTAACTTACTGAGTTGCACAGCGCTTTGAGTTTCTAGCCGCAGTGTTTCATGGTGGTCTTATGGTGGTGTTTCAGTTTTTGGGATTTAGGTTTCTTTTCGGGGTTAGCTATGGCGGCTACGGTTTGTGTCAGGCTTCGTTCGGTGTTGCTTCCCTTGCTGCAAAGTGGCAGACGCCCGCGCGTGCAAACAAACACACACACACACAACATCTGTCTTCTCATTGTCAGGAATGTTTTGGGTGTTGCATGTTACACTTCCTTCTCAATCACTAGAAACTCGAAGACGTCTCTTAGATCGTACAGCCTTCACCCGAAAAAGACTCCAACCTGGAGCACCGATCGCCCAGCCAACAAGAAAGTTGTCACAATGTTCGTGGGATTTGCTTGAGGCTTGAGTAGGGGTCGGAATATTTAATGATCCGGCAACCCCCTGCCCTGATGGCCCTGAAAGAATAAGTAACTGTATACAACAAAACTTTATTACTGATATTGTCGCACATAGTGCTAACATCGGTAAGGACTCTGTAGTAAAGGATGTGGCCGCGGACTGGTGTGCGCCTGGTATCTACCAGGCCTGGGCAGTGCCCTGCCAGGCCTGTCGTGGAGAGCGCTGGACAAGTCAGTAGGTTTGACGGGGCTGTGCTTGAGTCGCGGGGTTTAGTTCTTGGCTTTTTCCTAGGTTTTCGTTCTTGTAGTAGTACGCATTGATAAATTTGGCAGGTGAGTCAACAAACCGGACTTTATGTCGGATCGTGGAAAAGCCAACGGCGAGCAGACATGGTTGACCAACGAGGAACTCTACTTTGGGCTTCAGGGTTTGTTCAAGTCAAAAACCTGAACCTGAGACCCGAAACGCTTTAAACTTTAAACACTCCCAATATGGGTTTAGGGTTTAGGGTGCGGGCGCCGGGGAGGAACGGGGAGGGTTGGACAGGCTTCTGATTCCCATGTGCAAGGGGCGGTTTAGGGCTTAGAGCCGCAAACCCCCGAACCCTGAAGCCTAAGCCTTCAACCATAAGCCTGAAACCCTACGTAAAGCCTAAGCCTCAAACTGGCATTCTTAACCCTTTCAGGCGATGGAAAAGAGGTGTCAAAGAGCAAAAACCCTCAAACCCTAAATCTTATAAGACCCCCAGCACCCAATACCCCTGTTCCCGGGGGATCTCTCTACCCATAGGCTAATTAGTAGTTCCTTTTTGGGAATTACTTTATAGGATTCTAAATATGAACCATAAAAATGCCCTACTTAGGAGCCTATGGGTACAGTGCACAAAGCTTGAGGCCTTCAACATGGCTTATGTGCTCGGCATGGTGGTGATCATGTGCCCCTTGCCTAGAACCCTAAGGGTCCATTTACTCATATAGTATATACATTGGCCCCAAAGTACCTATATAGGGACTACTTCAAGGCCAAAGTATATACTATTTGGGTACATGGACCCTTAGGGGAAGCCTCATTACAGATCTGTTTGTTTGCTTTGGGCTGTCTCACGAGAAGAGCTGCCATGTTTAGTATCAAGATTCACGGGCTTTGGGTATAGGTTCAGGAGTTTAGAGGTTTAGGGTTCAGAGTGGGTTAATTCGCGGTCACAGCATACGCGTAGGGGCCAAGAAACTCTCACACCATCTAAACAACCTCGCGATGGGAACAAGTTCGACCTCTGCTGCATGACAGCAACAACCCAGACCTAAGGGAACGAAGTCCTGCAAGGGCCTAAATGCAAAATCCTACGTGTCGCGGGCTCAGGCTACATCCTCGATGTCATGCTCATTCTCACAAGCTTCTTTCTGCTGTATTACTACGTCTCGAGTGCTTGGCTTTGCAATTAGATTTCCAGCTTCCTGAAGGTTGGGGCTGAGAACAGACTGGGTTGATGTCTAGGTAAGCCAAAGGTCCAGATTGTTAAGAAACCCCTAAAACTTCTTATGACAGTCACCTAATCTCTAAGCCCTAATGCCCTATAAACCCTAAACCCTAACCCTAAACCCCCAAAATCCCTAAACCCCAAATCCCTCCGATGCTGCTCGCCCAAGGTGAGAGCCACAAGCCCATCTACAGGTACTGGGCTGCAGTTCTCCACGCCCTCGGAGCTTGGGTCGGCAGTTTCTGTTTCGACGAGGTTTAGGGTTTGGGGTTTAGGGTTTGGGGTTTAACGGTTTAGGGTTTAGGGTTCAGAGTTTAGGGTTTGGGGTTTAGGGTTTAGAGTTCAGGGTTCAGGGTTTGGGGTTTAAGAGCCTCAGGTTTGTGAGTTTGTGATCTGGGTTGCAGAGTTGTTTCGACGATGGCGCAGACCGCTTGCATGGCACGGCGGGGTGCTGAGAGCTCAATGACGGAGATACCTACGACTCTACGACTTCACTCTGGGCCCTGCGGTCCTCCCCTAGACCCTACCCATAGGCCCCTAAGTAGTTCCTTTTGGGATTACCTTATAGGATTCTAAAATATGAACCATAAAAAGGCACTACTTAGGGGCCTATGGGTAAACCCTAAACCCTCCTGGGACTAGGGTGCAACAAGGCTTCTTCGCTTGTTCATGCCTTTCCCTTGCGATCCGAGGCGATCTGGAGGCTGCTTAAGGCTTTCATGAAAGCGAGCTACAGCCATATCATATTCAAGCTTATTTAGGGTTCTACCCTAAACCCTAAACCCTTATATAACGGGAATCCGAGACAAGGCTCAAGGTTGAGCGAATCTGAACCCAAAGAAAAGCCGCAGAGCTGCACTGGACAAGGAACTGGCCTCTTCGCCACCGCCTGTGTGACATATACCATCTTCGGTATGGGCCGCCTCAATTCTATAGGCCAGGGAATGTGGGGCTCCTGGCATTTCTTTGAGTTGGGTATTGTGGGGTAGTACCCGACTAAGGGCTGATGGGCTTGGGGTTTGGGGTGACCGGATCTAACTCTTGGGCGTGAGTTGAGTTCTTTTAAGGGTCTTTAGGTCTTTAGGGCTTTAGGGGTTTAGGGTTTAGGGGTTTAGGGCTTCTTGGTGAGCACAGATACTGCACCCGTGGATGTGTCGGGGAATACTGGGGAGGTTCCACTGGTCAGCTTTCTGCCGACCCAGCCTACTGCAATTCCAGAAACTATCCGCCGTAGATTGCCGAGCCCATTCATGCGTAACCCTAAATTTGAACCCATTCTCGGTCTTACTGAGCAGCTGAGCAGGTGGTTCTGGCATCCGTGGCCTCTTCGAAGCCGCCACATCGGTAGGGATGACTCCAGGTGCCTTTGCCGTCGGAGGGGCTCGATCTGCTTGGGATGTAGAACTGACCAAATCCAGGTATGTCATCACGGTCATCACTACTAAACTATGCGTGTGCTGATGCAGTTCATACTGGGCCGTGGCTCATGCAGCATCCGGAGCAGCTTATTGTCCCGGTCGTTGTCGGTGTCATAGCTACTGCCAGCAGCTGCAGCGGTAATTAACAGTGGTAGGGAAGGAATAGCAGAAGCGTAGCAACGAGTAGTAGTGGTCGTG